CTGAGGTGCAAGCAACAAAGGCCCTTTCAGGTTTCTGGCAGGCAGAATTTATCACAAGGATTTGAGGTGATGGACAGAATGGCTCAAAATTGTTTGAGTTTGGAAAAAAAAAGATAAGTTAAGGAGGTCTGACTGTGCAAACACGAGGACCTGAGTTCAGATCCTCAGCAACCATGCAAAAATTTGAATGCTGCAACGTACATATATAACGTTGGTGCTGGGGGGGGACAGAGGTGCAAGGATCTGAGGCTTGTGAGCCAGCCAGTCCAGCTGAGTCAGTCCCAGGTTCAACAACTGAGCCTGTCTCAAAAAGTAAAGTAGAGAACAGGAGATGAAGATACTCAATGTCAACCTCTGGCCTCCACATGCTCACATGTTATGTGCACACATGGTATATGTGTACTCAATTCACCAAATACATACACAGACATGTACACATGCATGAGGACCCAACTTTGGGCCCCCATAATCCATGTAAAAGAGCCAGGCATGGTGGTATGCACCTTTAACTCCCTGTGCTTGGGATGAGGAGAAGAAAGGTGGATTCCTGAAGGTCATTGGCCAGCTAGTCTAGGCAAGCTGATAAGCAAATACCAAAAAAACAAAAGTGGACAATAATTGAGGAAAGACACCTGACTCTAGCTTCTTCCTTCTATATGAAAGAACACACATGTACATGTGCTCCTATACATACACCATGAACATACATGCATGTGCTCCTATACATGCATGTGCATATACCCACACCAAAGTACATACAGCACATATACTCCTTAATCACACTTGCAGAATGTTTTTTGCCATAGGAGGTAACATTTACAGGTTCCCAGGATTCATACAAAGACTTCTGAGCAGTGATAGTGCACACCTTTAATTCTAGCACTTGGGAGTCAGAGGCAGGCAGATCTCAGTGAGTTCAGCCTGGCCTACAAGGCAAGTTCAAGGGCAACCAGGGGTACAAAAAAACAAAACACAAAAACAAAAACAAAGGGACAGACTTCTTTGGAGGAGCATTATCACTCAGCATATCCCAACTTGAGATCAGCATCTGATAGAGGAGCCCTAAAATACTGCTTCTGGGTGAATGGCCAGGGATGGTCTCTCTGAAATGGCATCCAGACAGAAAGTCAAATAGCAGGCGATAACTAGGAAACCAAGGCAGAGAACATTCCAGGTAAAGAGAAAAGCCATTAGGAGGTGTGGCCTTGGAGCAAATGTGTCACTGTGGGGGCAGACTTTGAGGTCTCTCTTGCTCAGGCTTCCCTCAGTGTGACTGTCAGTCACTTCTTGTTGCTTGTAAGATGTAGGACTCTTCATCTATCTCTCTAGTGCCATGTCTGCCTGCATGTTGCCGCATATCATGATGATAATGGACTGGATCTCTGAAACTGTGAGCCCTAGTTAAATGTTTTCCTTATAACAACTGTCACAGTCATGGTGCCTCTCTCTTCACAGGCTCTGAAGGTCTCTTCTGGCCTCCAAGGATAACCACACACACATACACATAAATAAAATTAAAGTAAATCCAGCAGGTGTGGTGGTGCACACCTTTAATCCCAGCACTCATGAGGCAGAGACAGGCAAATCTCTGTGAGTTCAAGGTCAGCATGGTCTACAGAGTGACTTGCAGGACAGCAAGGGCTACACAGAGAAAGCCTGTCTAGGAATAAAAAGTAAATAAATAAAGTAAATCCTTTAAAAATAAATAAAAGATGTTATTGGCATTACCACTTGCAATTGCATCTTTTGAGTGAATGTGTGTGTTGTATGACTGTGTGTGCACTAATATGTGGGTATGTGTATCCATGTGTACAGATGTGGAAAGCAGAGGTTGACACCACATATCTTCTTCAACTACTTCCACCTTATTTTTTTTTCAGACAGGGCCTCTCACTGAACCTGGACCTTGCCATTTATACTAGCTGGCCAGGGAGCCCCATGGATCCTCCTGTCATTCTTCAGAACCACCCCTGGAGTTACAAAGATGTGACTACACATCCAGGGTTTTGTTTTGTTTTGTTTTGGTGAAGTTGTTGTTTTGGTGTGTGTGTGTGTGTGTGTGTGTGTGTGTGTGTGTGTGTGTGTGTGTGTGTTTACATGCCAGGGATCTTAACTCAGGTGTTCAAATTTGCACAACAAACATTTTACACACTGAGCCATCTTCCAGGTCCCACAACTGCATCTTATAAACTATGCAACATAAACAGGATACTTGATTACTTTAACTAAATCAAGAGCCAGAAGAAGAGACAGTAGTTCCCTGACCCTGGGGAAGTGCTTTGCTAAGATATTAAGAGGCTAGATGGCTAGGGATTGGGGGAAGGTGGATTTCTCAGCACTTAGTGCACCGAGAAACAATACCATGGTGGCCAGCCCACCTTACCTTCTACTGAGTCATTCCTTTCTATCGATTCACTTTCTTCCATTCTTGATAGGCACTGTAAAGTCCAAGAACATCTGAGACCTTATGAGCTCTCAACAAACACCCTTGATGAGTCTAAATGGATTTTTTGAGACTGAGCCTATCTTTTTGCCTATGGCACGATCTACTGTAACTCTGTTACAGTTTTCATCTCAGTCCTTAAATTCTGCCTTCTGTACATGTATTAAAAGATGAGTCCAGCCCAATTCATTCTACTTCTCAACAACCCCACCCACATACACATACACCCAGAGTACCTGCACTAAGAAAATAATTAATATCCACTCACTCATTTGTCCAACAAAGACCACCTAGGTTAAATACCTAGTGCCGAGACTGGAGCTGGGGTTGGAAGCCTTGTGCTTGATTCCTGGACAGATTTTAAAACTAACCATTTTTTTTTGTTGTTGTTTGATTGATTGGTTTGGGTTGGGTTGTATTTTTGTTGTTGTTTTTAGTTAGTTTTGTATTTGAGACAGGGTTTCTATGTGCAATTATGTCCTGATACTTGATCTGTAGTCCAGGCTGTCTTCCAACTCAGAGATCCAACTTAGAGATACCCCTGCCTCTGCTTCCTGAATGTTGGGATTAAATGCATGCATTACCACCACCTGACCAGAAGTCTGCCACCTGGCTAAAACTGACTAGTCCTACTCTAGAGTTACAGCTCAGTGGTTAAGCACCTGCTTAGAATCCCCCAGTGAGGTTCTAGGGCATGACTTAGCAGTAGAGAATTTGTCTAGCATGAGCAAGGCCCGGGTTCCATTCCTGGCACTATTAGAAAAAGAAATACAAGACTGACCATTCTCCAAGGATTTTCAGGAAGCAGGAAGATCATAACTAGGAAGTTATTTCCATAAAGTTGAGTTAAATACGCCCTGATAATCTGAGTAACGATTTGCATACAATTAAGAACCCATGTCTCTGATCAAATTCCAACCCTGGCAATCTGACTGGACCATCTGAGATCCTCGCTGGCTTTATGATGGCTTGTTAAACTGTCTTCTCTGGCTTGGGACTGGTTCTGCCAAGCTGTGGGGTGTTAGAGGTTAAGCTTCTGCTCTCTCTCCAGCTCCTCGGATGACTGCCTGGCAGCAGAGGGTGAAATTACCTCATTCATCAGAAGGAAGGCACAGTAAGGCATTCTGAGACAAAAGGTGATCTGCCAAGGTAAAACAAGGATTTTTAAGTTCAAATAAAAGCCAGCAGACACGCTTGATGAATCCTAATATGTAATGGTGGTAATTATAGGGTCCTGCTTACCACCCCACATAGGGCAAGTGAAACCCAGTTGGCACATTTTCTGAGTCAGCTCCTGAAGATCCTTTAAAGAAACAGGGAGCTTCTCCCATTGCCTACAACCTAGGGCCGATGTGTTATTTCCTCCAACATGCAACACACACCATCATTTGGTTCCCAAGCCAGATATGTTTTATAGCTTGCAAAACGTGATAAGACTGCCCCAGAGTCCAAGTGCTTGTGTCTGTTCTAAGTCCAGAGGCATCTCATACTTTCCATGTTTCCATCTGGGCTACACAGTGCTTTCTTTGTGTGTATTTCCTAGTGAACTTTATGCCAAAGCAGTTTAGAAGCTTCAGATCCTAAGAGCTCAGAAACAAAGCAATTGTACCTGGACAGCTTTTAAATCTAAAACCTCACTTGTTCTTTTTTTGGGGGGGGGGTTCAAGACAGGGTTTCTCTGTGGCTTTGGAGGCAGTCCTGGAACTAGCTAGCTCTTATAGACCAGACTTGTCTGGAACTCACAGAGATCCGCCTGCCTCTGCCTTCCGAGTGCTGAGATTAAAGGCGTGTGCTACCACCGCCCGGCTCCTCACTTTCTCTTGTTCAGTGCCAGTCTCAAATGCTAGGCAGTGTTTCCTGCTAGGAGAAGGCTTTTGTGGGCCCCTGGAGTCTGGGTCACCTCAGTCCTAGATGTGTAACTCCAGCACATGTCCAGAGTTGGAAAGGGTGTGACTGGGTAAAGAAAGAACAGGAAGCACCAGAAGGAATTAAAGAGACGGCTCAGTGGTTAAGAGCACCAGCTGCCCTTCCAAAAGACTTAGGTTTGGTTCCCAGCACCCACACCATGCTCACCACCATCTGTAACCCCACTCCCAGGGGATCCAAAACCTTCTTCTAACCTCCAAGGGCACCAGACATATATGTGGTGCATAGATATACACAGAAGCAAAGTACCCATGTATATAAAATAAAAAATTTATTAATTAAAAAGGAGTGCCAGAAGTCACACACCTCCACAGCCTCTGCAAGATGAAAGGAGAGCAAACATCTTCAACACCACAACTGATCATGAGATTCGTCAGTTTGTAAAGTGCTGTGGTGCAAGTTCGATCCCCAGAACCCATGTGATAAAAAGCTACATATGGTAATTCCATTGGGAAACAGATGGATCCCTGGGGGCTTATGGAGACTTGATGGCCATCAGTCTAGTCAACTCTGCTGTCTTAAAAACAAAACAAAACAAAAAATCGTGGATAAGCTTGATTTCTTGCATAACACACACACACACACACACACACACGAAACTTTTTAAACAACTTTGTGATTTACACAGCTGTAATGCATGGAATTTTAATTTATTTTCAATGTTCTGTTATTCCAGGGATCAGATCTTGGCGTTAATTACGTTTTTGACACACCCGAAGCTTCCAAAATTACAGGTGGCAACCTCTTTCCTCCATCCACGAGAACTCGTGTCCTAGGGACCTTGGAGGTTAACAGAGACTCGATCAGGGTAATCAGTACGTGTATGTGGCACACTCTCTTCTCACAGTCACTCAAAGGGCGTGGGCGTCGAGCTTCCAGGGTCAGCACCTTGTGGCGAGCACAAGACCAGAAAGACATGGATGCCCTAGGTTCAGGTTCTGCTCCAAAAAGTACTGCAAGGGTGAGGGTAGGGGTGTGGCTGGAATTTTGGGAGGGCCGGGAGAGGGCACAGCAAGGCCACCCCACCAGCCTCCGAAGAGGTGGCCTGGTCCCTAGTCTCCAAGAACTTAAGAACCCCCATCGATCCCTAGAGCCTAGACAACTCCACCCACCTCGCCTTGCATTGCTTCAATCTGGCCAGCAGCGCCTACAAGGACCCCTCCATCCTCGCTTCAGCACCGTCCATCAGTCTGCGAGACGGAGCCCACGGGCCCAACTCTCTGCCAGGACACTCTGGCGGCCTCAATTCGGCCTGCTACTGCTACCCGGTCCCTGCTTGTTTCGGTCACGCCCATCCGCCGCCTAGGCCACGCCCAGCAGGCTATTTCAGGCGTGGGTAGGGGCGCGTCCCCTCCCGCTGGCCTCTCAACGCTACCCGCCTCCACCACCTCAGCTGGGGCTAATCAGCCCTGTACGCTGGCCCGGCTTCAGCTCGGCTCAGCGAGCCTCTAGGCCACGCCCACCTAGTTCAACAAGTCTCTTCCCTGTCCCCGCGGTTGTCTTAACAGGGGCCGCCCCGCCCACTCGGACTTACCCGGCCTAGGCCCCGCCCACCTCAGGTGGGGCTGCCCCGCCCTCTGGCCTCCCAGCCCCTCCCACTCCGCCCGCCTCAGGTGGGGTTGCCCGTCCCTTCGCTAGTCCCAGGCGCGTCAGGCTACGTTTGCCTTGGAGCTCCTCACGGCTCGAAGCGCCGCAAAGTTTTGACATTTTGGCGGCGGAGACGCGCGCTGGCTCTCCCCGGCTGACGTCTGTGGCGGCGGCCGACTCTCGAGGGCCGCTCAAGTCTCAAGTCCTAGGCGCTCCCGAAGTCCGGCGGCCACGAGGCCCCGCCGCGTCCTCCCGCGCTCGCCCTCCCGGAGGCTGCAGCCATGTCTCGGGGGCCGGAGGAGGTGAACCGGCTCACGGAGAACACGTACCGGGTAAGTGTGGGACTCTGAGGAGCTCGAGGCGGGGTCTGGGACCCGGTGGAAACGGGGCTCGAGGCTGAGGGCGGAGGCTGGGAGGCCCAGAGACTTGGGGAATCCAGGGTCCGAGGCCAGGAACGTGCGCCCCGCCAAGCAGCTGACCATTGTCGCTAGGGGGGTAGGTCGAGATTCTTTCTCACTTTTGAGATAAAGTGGGGGCTTTACATAGGGGAGGATCTCTCCCCTCCTGGACCCTCGGAGACGACCATGGGACCCTCACATTTCCCGTATGGGGGTGGGGGCTGGAGACGTGAACGACAGTCTTGTGGGGTCCCCGGGGTGCTTGCCTCCCCTCCCAACTTCTCTTTGTAATCAGAGGCGGTGCTGGTCTGACCGCTGGTGCTAAACCCTTCCCAGATCCAAAAGAGGAGAAAAAGAGAGAGAGAGAGAGAGAGAGAGAGAGAGAGAGAGAGAGAGAGAGAGAGAGAGAGAGAGAGAGAGAGAGAGAGAGAGAGAGAGACAGAGACAGAGACAGAGAGACGGAGAGAGGGAGAGAGAGGGGGGAGAGAGGGGGGGAGAGAGAGACAGAGACAGAGAGAGGAGAGAGACAGAGAGAGAGAGGAGAGAGGGAGAGACAGAGAGGGGGGGGAGAGACAGAGAGAGAGAGAAGGAGAGAGGGAGAGGGGAGAGGGGAGGAGAGGGGAGAGAGGGGAGAGAGGGGAGAGGAGAGAGAGAGAGAAGCTCGAGTTTCCTCGGAGAAAAGAAAGCGCTCAAGAATGTAGGGGAGAAACTCCTCCGGAATTAGGAATCCATCGCCAGGTGAGCCTGGCTCCCTTGGCTCAGGGAATTTTCTAGGCTGCCAGCGAATCTGCTTTTGAGAAGATTTAAAACGCCTTCCCCATCTTGGACGCTTTCATACCGTAGTTTTTAAGTTCAATATGGTTTTTCTTCTGATTATTTGTTACCGTTTTATACATGTGTACAGTGTATTGTGATCATGTTCACTCGCGTTTGGCTTTTTCTACGTCGATGATTTGGGGAGGTTATTGGAGTCAGAGAGCACTGAGATTTTAACAAGAATTGACCTAAGCTAACAGAACTCGTGGTGATTGGTCGCTTAACTTGCCTGTTATATGAGAGAATTTTTCCAGAAACAGACATGGGATTAGTGGCCAGTTTAGTAAGTTTAAGTACTTGTAAATGAATTCCATTTGAAATAAGATATGCGTTTAATCACATGCTATTAATAGAATACAAAACAATTTTTGTTTTAATCCCACTTAGGCCCATTGAACCCCAGAGATTTAAAGTTCTCTAGATTTGCTTGTAACCATGGTTAGAGCCCACTCTTTGGTCATTTCTATAGATTTTTAAATTTTAAATCCCTAAAATAGAGTTTCTAGATTTGCAAGGTCTGAGTGAGTTCCTGAAATCAGAGTTTATTTGACTTGTTGGAAAATCATTTTAAAGCAGCATGAAAATATTTTCATAATCCATTAAAGTTCCGAAATTTATCAACTCCCTTCATCTGTGTACTATAGCTTACAAAGTAGACTTGCTATTTTGGAGGTCTGAAGCTGTAACCAAAACCTGTTCCTATTGGTATATTTCCTTAATAAATGGCAATTTTTAGAAATACCAGAAATTTGAATGTTAATTTAAAATCTTATATTTGGGTTGAGATTGTTCACACTTAAACCACGACAAAGTATGTAAGTAAAACAATCTCTTAGCCTTGGGGAAGACAAGTTCCTCAGATGAGAAGTAAGGGAAGTATGTAACTGAGGATGTAGGTTATCGTAGTTTGTGTGTGGAATCTGAGTGTCTGCTTCAGGGAGAAAACTCATGAGCACTAAAGTTTCTCAAACACACCGATTGTTTATCTTGCTAGTCTGCAAAGAAAATGTCAACTTGAGACAAGCAATCAGATGCTCTGCGTAAACAGCCCTTTTTCTCACTTCTGACTGAGAAATCTTGGTGGGGTGTGTCCGAGCAAACTACAGTACCACAAATATTAACCACCTTGGCGTGTGTTTTTACCCACAGAACCGGAGCAAGAGGAAAATTGTTGATTTCATTGTTTTAGTTGACAGTATTTGTAGACATAAAACATGGTGGGTGAATCGGGCTGGAGAGATGGCTCAGCCATTAAAGGCTAGGCTCACAACCAAAAATATAAGACATGGTGAATCCTTTTTAGGGTGTTTTGTTTTTCTAATTTATTTAGATACAGGGCAGCCCTAACTGGCCTGGAACTTGATATGTAGACCAGGTTGGCCTCAGTTTCAGAGGTCCTCCTTCTTCTGCCTCTTCCCAAGTGCTGGGATTAAAGGGCTATCACTCCTGGCTCTGTGTGTTAGAGAGAGAGAGAGAGAGAGAGAGAGAGAGAGAGAGAGAGAGAGAGAGAGAGAGAGAGAGAGAGAGAGAGAGAGAGATTGTTGTTTTTATTTTTTCCTTTTTTGCGACACTTTCTTTATGTAGTCTAGGCGAGCCTCACTTTGTAGCTCAGGCTGGTCTCAGCCTCACAGTGTTAGGATTGAAAGTGTATACCACCATACTGGCTCATTTTCAGTTTTTGAAATGTCAGAATAGATTGAAGATCACAAATCAGTGCTTTCTTTCTTTCCATCCCAGATGTTGAAAACATTTCACAAGCTTACTAAATGTCAATTGATTTTAACTAGCAATTCCTTGTTAGTATTTTGGGATCAGGTTTTTTTGGGGGGGGTTGTTTTGTTTTTGTTTGTTTGTTTTTTTAAAGTGAGATAGTGGGATTTAAAAAAGTCACAGCACTAAACAGGAGGTTTCTGTATCTATGAAACAAAGTGAAGGCTGCTAGGCCATGGTTTGCCTCTAAGGACATGCACAGTTAAATTTCACATTTTCTGGGGTGATTAGAGCCTGAAAAAACCTTTTATTATGATCAAGGCTATAAACAATTTAAGTTCCACATCCTATTGACAATGTTAGTGAATGTTGTTCTTTTAAAAACAGATTTCCCTTTGTGTTACCTAGCAATCTACAATATTTTACTAACAGAAACACAACCTAACCAGGTGCGATTACAAAGGCCACCTGCAAATGAGATTTAATGTCTTGCCTGTCTGGGCTTTAGGGGTGTGTGTGTGTGTGTGTGTGTGTGTGTGTGTGTGTGTGTGTGTGTGTGTGTTTAATATATACTCAAATCTCTTAAATAAAGGAATAAATTTTTCTGTGGAGCAATGGGAGGTTGGTAAAGTAGTGTGATCCTCTATGCAGTATCAGATATCCTTAAGTATATATTTATACATCGGCTTAGTTTTTTAAAAAATGTACTTAGACAAATGATTACTGGATATTTGAGCTAACTCCCAGAAGCATGTGTGTTTTACTGCCTCATAAACAAATAGCATGATAATGAACCCTGAAATATGAAGTACTGTTGATAATTTGAGTTTAGCCAAAGATCCCAATCTCCTTCCCATGCTTAGTCTATAGTGTGCCTGTAATTTGCCCTCAAAAGCTGACTTGTGATTTTGCATAGTTTTCTGATGAATGCATGCTTTAGCGGATGAAGATGAAGTAAAGTTCAAAAAACTTTGCTTAAGAGGAACCACAACCTTCCTAGCAGTTAGAATTTTTTTGTTTTGCTTTGTTTTTTTGTTTTTGGAGACAGGATTTCTCTGTATTGTTTTGGAGGCTGTCCTGGAACTCACTCTGTAGACCAGGCTGACCTCGAACTCACAGAGATCCGCCTGCCTCTGCCTCCCGAGTGCTGGGACTAAAGGCATGCACCACCAACGCCCGGCTTAGTAGTTAGAAACTTTTTTTGCTTTTGTTTTTTGAGACAGGGTTTCTCTGTGTTAACAGTCCTGGCTGTCCTGGAATTTGCTCTGTAGACCAGGCTGAACTCACAGAGATCCCCTTGCGTCTGTCTCCTGAGTGCTGGGATTAAAGGTGTAAGCCACTATACCCAGCTCTACTGAATCTTATAGTGAGTGAAGGGGAGAAATGACACAAAGAAAGAGGGAAAGGAACACAGACACAATCTTTATCCATTGCCACTAACATAAGATTCATTCTATTGCAGGGCAGTGATAGTGCACGCCTTTAATTCCAGCACTTGCACAGGTAGATCTCTGTGATTTTGAGGCCAGCCTGGTCTACAGAGTGAATGCCAAGAGAGGCTCCAAAGCTACACAGAGAAACCCTGTCTTGAAAAAAAAAATTCATTCTATTAAAGAACCATCTTCCAGAGGACTTGAATATGGTTCCTAGCACCCATGGAGGATGGCTCACAACTGCTTGTATCTCTAGTTCCAGGAGATGAGTTCCTCTGGTCATCAGGGCACCTAAACTCACATGCACGCAGGCACACACACACACACAACTTAAAATAATAAAAAATAAATCATAAATCTTTAGAACAAACAAAATCAAATATGCAATACATTTTTTAAAGAACAAACATTTAGCACCAACTGTAATTTCAAAAGTTCTAAGATTGTAATCCTTTCAGTCTTCACAAAATTATAGTACCAAGGAACAATTTAGAGTGATGTGTGTTTGT